GGGGGGGGAGGGGGGGGGGGCCCTTTAATAATAGGGGGAAACGATTAGTGTAGGTGGCTACAGCTGTTGGGCCTTGCTAAAGTTTTGTGGATCATGTGGTATCCTCGGTGGGAAGTCCGTGAAGGTGCGTGAGACACCCTTAGACCTTCCAGGCGACTGAGTCAGAATGATCCACCTTCAAGTCCGTGGTGCCTCAGGAGAAGATGCCGCAAGTTTTGCGGGCACACAGAACATCAGTTGCTGTGTGGCTGCCATGCAGCGTCAAGGCGTTTTTGTCACCGCGGTTTGCATCCTCTTACGCGTTTAGGGTCTTGGCCCAGGCTTTGCTAGGAAGTGTACTGGCCAGGACACTTCTCTGCGTCTCTTGAGAACCATGCTGACCAAAACTGAGAGGATTCTGTGAGGGGCGGCTCTCTCTCCAAAGCAATCCGCACAGATACGCAAGACGTACTTGTCTGTGGAGGTCAGTAGCAACTCGAGCCGTGATCGGTCCTGATCGGTGGTGATGTTGATAATGATGATGATGATGAGCACCATCATGCTGACGGTGGTGGCGGCGGATCTGAAGCATCAAACCGAGCCTTCACTGCGGCGTCGCTGGCGATGGCTGCAATGTCGACCCCGGCGAAGGGGTTGGACCTGGGCTTCTCCTCCTGAGCCTAGATGCGTGAAATCAGCTCCTTGCGACGTGCTCACGGAGGATTTCACTTGATGGCGCTTTAATGCGCTTTACCTAAACAAAGGAATCACCAGGCCTTCGGAAGCTGATTTGTAGCGCCCATTCGAAACCAAGAATGTGTTGAGGAAGACCCGGTGTCAATGAGGCGCTGTACAACTAAAACTGCCGCAGCCATGAACGCGAGTACTTGTACTAAAGCTTGGTGTGACATGGTGCCCAATTTTATGCGGGGCTCTTGCTCCGTGCATCCAACAAATCTCCTGAGGCGCATGCACGCCGAAGCCAGGGACCTGGATTTGAAGGACAGCCTCAGCACGAACAAAACATGAAACATACGACCTCTTGTATGCAGATTACGAAACATTCTGCGGGTCTTCGGTGCCCGCTGCTACGTTCGAAAGTGCATCGTGATAACTCTGCTTCCGAAATTCAAAGCGTGTAGTCCAAGGCCCTGGCAGGTGCCGTTCGCCACTCCATGACCTTTCATGGTGAGCACAAATAATCAAAGAAAGCCCCTACCAGTACGTTCCCAAGAAACTCAAGACCACCCCCTGAGTCCAACATGTGCACGCAGTGTCGAGAACACGATTGATACCCCAGAACATGCACGCTGCTCTGGCAGTGAGAGGAGTCCCGCCTCAAAATCTGGGCAGGACTGTGGCGAGAGCAAAGTCTGCATGGTTCAAAGGAGGCCGACACACGGAACTGCGGTTGTAAAACATGCGCACCCCAAAATAACACGTACGACATCCCGGCACTGTGGCAGGACCACGATTGGATTTTACAGTCAATTTGGCGACCCACTGTTAACACGATTGTCTTCGCACCCTTGCGATGGCGCCAATCACATTCTGTTGCGAAGGTATGTAAAGCAGGCACATCAGGGACTCAGTCTCGTTTCGAAGCCACGTTGTGTGTAAAACGACGGCCCCAAACAACAGAGAAGTGAGCCTCAGATGCCTCAATTATTCAGAGGTGACAAGACGAGTCCCAGGAGCGGAGAGGAGCGGTGCTCTCAGTGCCTCCTCGATGAGCTCCAGCGTCCAGAAATCCTTTGCCTGACGGCCCAGAAAAGCCCTACCGGCCCTACCGTAACCTGACAATGCAGTGACGGTGGACCAGGCTGAGAAGCCGACAGCCCGAATGCCTGGGTTGAGGACACCTCGAAGGCAGCAACAGGCATTGAAGCAGGAAGGCCGTGGAACCGAACCGGAACCGCAGAACCGGAACCGCAGGAACCGAACCGCACAGAACCGGAACCGCAGGAACCGAACCGCACAGAACCGAACCGCACCGGAACCGAACCGCAGGAGAACCCGTACAGGCCCAAAATACGGAAGAATTCGCACCCCCCTTCTTGGACCACTTCTAGCAGGACAGATTCTACCGCGTTTTGGCGTTTCCCGCCCCGT